TTACCTCTTTCTATTTTGGTACCTATACAATTGTCCTTTTTTAACTAAACTTTTTATTTTGAGATAATTATAGAGTCATAGATAGCTATAAGAATAATACAATGAGATACATATGCCTTCAATTTACTTCTATAATCACAAGTTTAACCATCTTCTAAAGAATTCAACAAGTGGAAAGTAGGAAAACCACTGTTCCCCAGGAGGAGAGACAAGGGTTATAAACAGCAAGCAAACCTCAAGAAGACAGGAAGGAGGGCAGGGCGGAACCAGAGAGATGGGGAAGTAAGAATGGGAAGTATTGTTGTGCTCTTAAAATTGTATAATCAAAATGTTCTCTTTGTATAAATAAAATATTATGTAAAAATAATACAGAGATCTCACTTATCCCACCCCCAATTTTTCTGCAATAGAAACAGTTTGCAAAATTGTAATGAAATCCCATAATAAAAATATTGTCATTACTGTAGTCATCCAATCCTATTGAGATTTCTCCAGTCTTACTTGTCTGCATGGATGTGGATGTGTGGATGTATTTAAAGATCTATCTAATTTTATCACACTTGTAGATTTATGTATTCGCTGTCACAATTAAAATGCTAACAGTTCTACAGTCACAGGATTTCTTGAACTGCCTTCGTTTTTCTTAAGATGTTTTTTAAAAGACTTTTAAAAAAAATTTTGTTTGTTTCAGGTTTAAGAGGAGATGGAGAGAAAGATCTTCTATTTTCTGGTTCATTCCCCAAATGGCCACAATGGTGGGAACTGAATTGGTCTGTGGTCAGGTGCCAGGAACTTCTTCCAGGTCTCCCATATAAAAACAAGACCCCAAGGACTTGGGCCATCCTCCACTGCTTTCCCAGGCTACAAGCAGGAGGTTAGACTGAACGTGGAGCAGCCAGGACATTAACTGGCACCCTTATGGGATGCCAGCACTGCCAGATGACTCTGATTCGAGTTCAAGCTGCTCTACTTTCCATCAGGTCTCTGCTTATGGACTGGGAAAGTAGCAGGCTGATGTCCTTGGACCCTTGGACCCGTTGGAATACCCAGAAGAAGCTCCTGGCTCCTGGCATCAGTCTGGAGAGTGAACCAGCATTTGGAAGCTTTTGACATGAAATTGCACATTACTACATAACTATGTCCAAAAGAAATCACAATGAATATCAGAAAATATCTTGACTCAACAAGAAAAATATAACACAACAAGATGACCAGGAAGCATCTGAAATGGTAATAAAACCACAGCTGTATTTTTTTTTAAGATTTATTTATTTTTGTTGCAAAGTCAGACATACAGAGAGGAGGAGAGCGAGAGAGGAAGACCTTCCATCCGATGATTCACTCCCCAAGTGACTGCAATGGCTGGAGCTGTGCCGATCCAAAACCAGGAGCCAGGAACTTCCTCCAGGTCTCCCACACGGGTGCAGGGTCCCAAGACTTTGTGCTGTCCTCAACTGCTTTCCCAGGCCACAAGCAGGGAGCTGGATGGGAAGTGGAGCTGTCGGGATATGAACTGGCACCCATATGGGATCCCGGGGTGTTCAAGGCGAGGACTTTAGCAGCTAGGCTACGGTGCCGGACCCCACAGCTGTAATTGTTTGTATTAAAGTCACAAGCCTGTTTATATCTTAAAATCTGAATCAAAAAATACCACTGTACTTGCTTTGTGCAGTAAATTTGTAAGCCAGGGAAACTAAAGGAAAAGCGTGCTGCTGAAGAGACCGCTAGGCGGCAGTATTGGCTAGTGTCCGGGGGCGAAAGCTGTTAGCGTGGATGCTTCAGCAAGCTTGGCTCTGGGGCACACCTGCGGTAGTTAGGGCCCTCTGTTTTGCATGACAGCACTGAGGAGCAGAACAAGCAAGTGACTGATCCCTTTCACCCCAGGGTTCATCTTGGAGACAGAAGCAGGTCTGTTTCTTAGCTTGAGAGCACATGGCAGTTCTTCCCCAGGCCAGAGGTGAAGCCGGATGCTCCTGTGGACTTGGGTGATGGGAGCCTGGTTTCTCTTGGTGTGGAGTGTCCCGGGTGTGATGAAGGCCTTCAGTCCTGGGGCTGCTGCCCGGCGGGCAGGGCCTAGGGCGCCCGAGAGGATACTCTGCGGAGAAAGCCTGCTAGAGTGCAGCCACTTAAGCTGTAGGTCCGACAGTGAGCGCCAGATAAACGGCTTCAATCTGGCGCCAACCACTGGCCATTTCGGTTGTGCACATTGGGAGATGTCCTTTTTTGCTGGGTACTGTGTTTCTCTCATTTGCATCCAAGGATCCTCTACTTGGCAGGAAGTCCAACATATAAAATGTTTGGTTTTACTTTGGACAGAACAAAAGGTTCTAAGAGCTGGTATTGTGGTGCAGCGCCGTGGGTGGTTGTGGGCAGTGACAGCATTCTGTATTTGTGCTGGTTCAAACCTCACTGCTCCATTTGCAATGCAGCTCCCTGGTGACACAGCTGGGAAAGGAATGGAGGATTGCAATACTCAGGCCCTTGCTACCCACATGGGAGACACCAATGGAGTTCCTGCCTCATGACTTTGGCCTGGCCCAGCCCTGGCCATCGCAGTTATTGGGAACTGAAGTGAACCATGTGTGGAAGATCTCTCTCTCTCTCTTTGCCTTTCATACAAATAAACCTTTAAAAATTAAAACAAAAGATGAAACACTAAGGTTATATCACTCCGTAAAAGTCTGTAAATGTTAGCATTTGGAATCCTTTATACTCATACTTTTATGTTGTAGTACCTGTATCCCATACCAACACAGGCATGATAAAGTTCTAGCATTTATTCATAGTTGTAGGATACATTACACAAATTCAATAATGCAGTGTGTAGTGATCAAGTCAAGGCAAGTTGAAACATGCCAGGCAACCCAGAGGTTTATGTCTTGTCAGCGCTCGCTCGCTCGCTCCTATCCAGATGTCACCACTAGCAGCATTTGCCCAGCAGATGCTAGCTTTGCTTTTGAGCTGTAAATGTAGTCACTCAACATGAAATCTGCGAGATCCATGCCTTGTCTGTAGTCTTCTGATGACTGTTACACAGTCCACACTTTTGCAATTTTTCATTTCATAGAGCACAAAGGACTAAGGAACTACCCAGGTGCTTCTTACCAATGTGTGGTAGTTCAAACAATTTTTTTTTTTTCTGGCCAATGTAGCCCACCAAGAGCTCCTCACTTTAGAACACTCTAATCCTAACTAATCCTAAATTCCCTTCTTTTATGGACTGAAAGTATTCCCATAACAATTTCTGTATTGGGGCTGTGTTGCGGCATAGCAGGGAAGTCTTCTGCAATGCTGACATCCCATATGGACAGCAGTTCAAGTCCTAGCCGCTCCACTTTCAATCCTGTGCCCTGCTAATGTGCCTGGGAAAGTAGAAGAGGGTGGCCCAAGTGCTTGGGCTATTGCCCCCACGTGGAAGACCTGGATGAAGCTCCTGGCTTCTGCCTGGTCCTGCGCTGTTTGTCACAGCCATTCCGAGAGCGAACCAGTGAATGGAAGGAACCTCCCCTCCACATCCTCATCTCTGTCTCTAACTCTGCCTTTTAGAGGAGTAAAATAAATTTAAAAAAGAAAAATTTCTGTATCATGGCTCAAACCCCACTGTGATGGTGTTTGATGCTGGGAGATGGGCACTGGGTGGTCATCAGGGCATGAGTGGAGTCATTGTTGGAGTTAGCAACCTTCTAAGGAGTCGAGATGACCTTTCTTTCCAACATGTGAGGTTATGTCGAGGTGGCTCTGTGCAAACCAGAAGGGAAACCCTCAGCACGAACTCCATCTGCTGACAGTGCCTTTGGCTCTCTGATCTTAGAATTCCAGCCTCCACAAAGGTGAAAAACAGCTGCTATTTATGTCATCCATGCATGACCAAAGCAGCCTAAATGAACACACCTGTCTTCTAATTCACTTTCCCAAATATCAACAGGCATGCTTCCAGAAGCATTGATACAAAGTAGTCACACGAAAGCATAATGGAAAACAGCTGACAAATTTCAGTGACTTATCTTCAAGGGTGGGTCTTGCCTTCCCGGGCAAGTTCAAGAGCAGAACCTCTGAAAACTTACCCCTCTTAACCTGCACATTCACACTACTGGCAGGCTGCCTCGTTTAGCCAAGCTTTGGAAGACCCTGGCATCACAGGGCCACTTCTCTCTGGCTTTTTCCCATGTCGAGCCCCACAAGTGATTTGAAGGATATTTCTATCTTCTCCTGTTTCGGGTTCACAAGAGAACTCCCAGCAGCTCCCCAGACCTTCAGCTAAGCTTTGCCACCAGGTGGTGGGGTCTCAAGAGGCCAAGGCACTCAGTTTGTGAGAGGAAAGGTCCCCACCTCATAGAGGAGCGGAGTGGCCAAGGCATCCTGGGACTAAGAGGAAACCTTCTTGATGCAGTAGCACCTGCCGGGGAGGAAGCTGCGTTCTGGGATAGAGAGGCTAGGAGAGGGACAGCTGGCTGCATTCTGCTGGTCTGACATCTGGGCTCAGCTACAGGAATCTCTACTAAGGAAAAAACACTTCTTGCTCGTTTCAGTGGTTGCGATTCTGTTCCCCAGCCCCACTTTTTCATGTTCTGGTGACAAAGTTTATGAAAGCAGTTGGGCTTGCTTCTTATCTGGTTTCCATAAGACTTGGATGTAGATACAGAGTTAAAAGCAAAGGGTTGGACCTAGTGGCTAAATCATTGTCTTGTACAAACTGGGATCCTATACGGGCGCTGGTTTGTGTCCCAGCTGCTCCACTTCCCTTCCAGCTCCCTGCTCATGGCCTGGGAAGGCAGTTAATGGTCCAAAGACTTGACATTCTGCACCAGTACGGGAAACCCAGAGGAGGCTCAAGGCGCCTGTCTTTGGATTAGCTCAGCTCTACCCACTGCAGTCATTTGGGAGTGAACAAGCAAATGGAAGATCTGTCTCTCCTCTCTGTAAAAACTGTTTTTCAAATAAGCACGCATGCATGACACAGAACAAATCTTAGTATTTAAACACACGCACAGGCTTAGCTGAAGTAACTTTATTGCAATCTTTTAAAATTAGCATTAGAGTTTAAATATTTAGGTCTGCTAAGGTTTGCATAATGTATAATACAGTTATTTTTAGAAGCAGTTAAGACTGTTTAATTGAGGGGGGGAGCTTCAACACAAAGCTGTAACAACTATTTAAAACAAATTATTTACAATTAGAACATTTAGGGTCCTGATTCACAACACTTAGTGCATTTCATGATTTCTGAGTTTCACCGAGAAGGTAAGCTCTAGGCAGAATGCTCTCCAGGGGCGGTCTGGAGTGAATGGCTTTTAGAAGGAAGTCCAATATGGAAACTGGGAACCAGAGAAAGAGCAACTAAAAAACACAATCAAAAAACCCCCAGAACTTCAGCAACTACTTTTGATCTTTAAGCAGACTGTGGCAATCAGACCCAGAAGAGTGGATGTCATTTTGGACAGTATGCATGGAAAGAATGATTGATAATCATTACAGATAATTCTCTTCCTCTTACAAAGCTATCTTTTAAGACCCGAGTTAGCGAAGTCACACAAGAAGGAGATGCCCTTTCGCAACTGCCATCGGAGACCAGTGGGTTTTGTTTGGTCCCGAGGTCAGCTACTCCAGCTGCCAAAGACACGGCCCAGGTGAGGAGTGGGGACCAGGTGAGTCCTGGAGCCCCTCCACCTGAAGTTCGCCGAGTTTGTGTTCACAGCCCAGGAGACCACTCAAAGCATGAGCAAGTCTTCCTATGTGGGAAATCTCAGTGAATCAGGCCCCCGGTAGTCTTTAAAGGAACAAAAAATTTACAGTAAACATTTTAAACCCCGGAATGCAATCGTGAGTACATTTTATAGCACTGCTTCCACAGTATTTGCTCCAGAGTAAGAATTCAAAAATGTACAAGCCAGTTCACATAGACTTTAGATACAATGTTATTAAAATACATTGTTAATCATAAAAATACTTTACTATGTACATGTATACTGTATAAACTCAGATAAAGATCTGCCTACTGAAGAAAGTCCATTTCTGGCCCAGGAACTGGTCCAGTTCTAGTATTTGGTCTCCACACCATACACGTGAACATCATGGTCCTGCAGTCATTTCTTCAATGGAGCAGCGACCTATAGTTCTTCTAGAGAAGGTCTAGATGGAAGGGTCGGTTTTGCTTCCACTATACTTTGCTTTCCTAAGGGTGGACCCCAATAACTCTGGGCATTCACACAATTCATTGGCAATTTGGTTACACTTCAAAATAAGGCTGTAGTTCATTTCATCGGTGATGACACTGTCCTGCTTGTAGTCAGGATGGCTCCCGATGAACTCCCGCATCCACCGGGCAACCGTCATCAGTTCTCCTGAACAACAAAATTGAGAACACAAGATTAACGGGATTAAGTAATTGGACATCTAGTAACTAGCGCTAGGTATGATTCTGAAAAAATAGCATGTGTCTACACCAAAAGGACACACTGCTAGGAGTGGGTAAAAGTCTGCCTTTCACAGTGTTTTAAGAACCTCCCCCCCAACCAAAGAAAATAATTTTTTTAAAGATTTTATTTCAAAGGTGACATGAGAGAAACAGATCTTTTATCTGCTGGTTCACTGCCGAAATAGCCATGACAGCCAGAGGTGGGCCAGGCTGAAGGGAGGAGTCCAAACCTTCAGTGGGGACGCAGGGGCCCAAGCACCCAGGCCATCGCTGTCGCTTTCACATCTAATTAGTAGGGAGCTGGACTAGAACCAAGGCATCCAGGACTCAAACCAGCACTCGTAGGTGCCAGTGTTGTAGGTAGTGGGTGTCTTAACCCACTGAGCTCTATAACAAGGCCCTGGAAAAGGATTTTAATTTACAGATAATGAGAATCTACAGACTTGATTCCTTTGGCATCTGTAAGCTGCCAGCCATGTGCCAACGCAGCCAGCTTTTACAAGACAGGAGCTCACATCTATACAGAAGTACATCTCCTGGGCTGGACACAATGGTTCATTGGCTAAATTCTCGCCTGGCATATTTCAGGATCCCATATAGGTGCTGGTTCAAGTTCTGGCTGCTCCACTTTCCATCCAGCTCCCTGCTTGCAGCCTGGGAAAGCCGCAGAAGATGGCCCAAAGTCTTGGAACCCTGCAGGCATGTGGGAAACCTGGAAGAGACTCCCGACTCCTGGCTTTGGATTGGCTCAGCTCCAGGTGTTGTGGCCAGCAGATGGAAGAGCCTGTCCCTGTAAATCTGCCTTTCCAATAAAAAGCAAAATAAATCTTAGAAAAAAGACATGTTCTATCAGGCCAGGCCAGGGTACTCAGACTCCATGACTCTGGGCTGTGAGGCCATGAGGCCATTGCAGAGGACAGAGCGGTACTTAGTGTAAGCACAGTTCAGGGAAAAGGAAAAACAAAACAAAACAGTTGTGCAAATGGGTGAAAAGAGAAACTGGCAGACAAACCATTTGAGTTGTGATAAGGGTTCTATAGCTATCCATCCAGATTCCAGAATATTCAAAGCAGACTCAAGAAAAATACAGACACTACTGCTGTTACTATTGCTACTTTTTCTTTTAAAGACTTTATTTTGAATAGTGATGGCAGGGGGTTTGGCGTCTAGTTGTTTGGGTTCCATCCACTATTGCTGCAACAGCCAGGCCTAGTCAGTCTGAAGGAATCCGAAGCCCTGGTCTCCCATGGAGGTGGCAGGAAACTAAGCATTTGGGCTACCATCTGCTATTTCTGGCACCTTAGCAGGAAGCTGGATCAGAAATGGAAGAGCCAGGATTTGAACCAGCACTCTGAAATGGGAAGTGGGTGTCCCAAGCAGCAGCTCCACCCACTGCCCCAGCAAGGCCTGCCCCACTGTTACTGCGTGCAACAGCTGAGAGTACCCTGTGCGGTCTCCTCAAAGACAGCGGAACCTCAGGACGCCCCCACACAGAGCCAGGCTGAAGGTGTGGATGGCCTACTAAGCAGCTACTTAGCCTTGAAAGTGCCATAGTGACATGCAATGACCCCAACTAGACACGCGTGACAGACAATCCAGACACCATAGTCTATTGTCTAAGATGTCTGATTTAAAAATGTACCATATTATAAGTAAGACACTGATGCTCCAAACTGATTGTCAAAGAGTTCAAAACTGCAGAGATGTCAAAATGTAAAAATGTATGCATGGGGAAAATAAACCTTAAAAGGCTACGTAAGGGGACACAGTCGGTTGTTATCTGCAATGCTGGTAAACCATATGCGTGCTGGTTCTAGTCCCAGCTCCTCCACTTCTGATCCAGCTCCTGGCTAATACAACTGAGAAGGCAGTGGAAGACGGCCCAGGTGCTTGGGTCCCTGTCACCTGCAAGGGAAACCCATACTGGGGGTCCAGGCAGGCTCCTGACTTCAGCCTTCCCAGCTCCAACAGTTGTCATATGGGGAGTGAACCAGTAGATGTAAGATCTCCCCCTCTCTCTATAAACAAATATTTAAAATAAGTTGATAAAAGGGTATTTTCAATAGCTAAATATGAGAGCAGACATTGAGCTCAGTAGGCAAGATGCCCAGGTCCTGCATCCCAGGGTCTGGTTCCAGCCCTTGACTCCAGCTTTCTGTCAACACAGACCCTGTGACACAGCGGTGACAGCTCAAGTGACTAGGACCCTGCCACCTTTTCGGGAGACTTGGATGGAGTTCCCAGCTCTGGATGTTGTAGACATTTGGCAAGTCGGCCAACAGATGGGAGCTCTTTCTGTCTGCCTCTAGCTCGCCAGGAAAAATTAAAATCTTTATAAAAGTAACAGGTTAGTGGAAGATGGTGTAGCTCTTACCTATACTATGAGATTAAGGCAAAAAAAGAGAGAGAGAGAAAAGAAATGGCTATGGTACCAGATGCTCTCTTCTTAATCAGCTTCAGGTAGTTCAGAATGCTACATCTGGTGTCCACATCCACCTCCATGTTCTCAAGGTAGGAATTCAGGATGGGGATGAGCCCAGGAAACACACCTTCCTGTGGGAAGAAGGAGGACCCAGCATGAGGGCACTGCCGATCCGGGAGTGTGGCCAGGGGCTGGCCAGGACCCACCTTCCCGTTGATGATCGTGTCAATGCTCATGAGCGCGTACTCCTCCGCCTCCGGCTCCGTGCTGCTCTGCGCCTTGCCACACCCGTCCACCACTGCATTGCCACCTGCTGGGAGGGCGGGGGTGCTTTAGGGGCTGCTTGTGGTGAAAGCCGCCCTTAGGAATCCAAGAGGAAGTCATACCTTTGCAAATATCCTTCCTGAAATAAAACAGCTCCTTCAGGACAGCATCTCGTTTCTGCGCTACTTTCATGTTCTCATCAACCTAAGGGGGCAAGAGAATCCCGACTGAGTCGACAGCTGTGACTGGCCACAGGAGTTGCGCCACTGCCTCCCTTGCCCCTCACCCAAGGCTCACTCTGCGAAAGATGCCCCTTGCCCCTGTAGCCAGTCTCTGAGTGAAAGAGCAGGTCCCCTTTTACTTAGGTGGGGTCTGTTTCGCTCAATGATTAAGAACAAGCAAAGAATATTAGAGACCTTAAAAAACAAACAACAAAAAAAGTCTGTTTAGGCAGGGTATCTGCATTTTCTGGCAGCATTGTGTTGCGCCTTGCCACTGATCTGCAGAGTTGGGAGGACCAGTGGTTGCGTTCCTCTGCACAGCCCTGTGGCTCAGCAGAAGGCCTGGGAAGGAAGGAAGGACGGCACAGCATTCTAGTTCTCCTGCCTTACAGTTCATTCACAGCCCTCCCAGACTGCCTCCTCTGTGTAAGCAGAGCTATCAGGCTGCCAGACCAGGAATAAGCTAACAGGGGTCCCCCAAGGGTCCAGTCAACAAAGTGGCCTGCACAGCTGGTGGCCCTGGCCATGTTGACATTCATAAGCCTGAAAAAGCTTTGTGAATGTCCCTTTTTAGGCTCCTCGAAGCAGAGCTTTCCACACATACCCTCTATGTGTGGAACCTCAATGTATCAAAGACCCTGGTGAGAGGCCCAGGCTGACATGGCACAGAAAGCATGGCTTTTCTTGATTAGTTGACCTCCATCCAGCCTCACATGGGAGGGGTCCCACTGCTACTATCGTTCTGTTTTCTGAAAGACACACACAGGACCTTCTGAATAGACTAGACACTTCTAAGAGCATTCAGATAGCCTAAAATCCCACTGTGACTTGGGCATCTCTTAATTCTTCATAACATTTGTTCATGATGACCACTGGTTTTATTTGACTTCGATTAATTCTTTTTTAAGATTCATTTTTTTTTTTTTTTGGAAAGTCATAATTACATAGAGGAGAGACACAGAGAAAGATCTTGTATCAGCAGACTCACTACCCAAGTGGTCACAAGGACTGGAGCTGAACCGATCTTAAGCCAGCAGTCAGGAACCTTCTCCAGGTCTCCCACATGGGTGCAAGATGCCAAAGCTTTGGGCCATCCTCGACTGCTTTCCCAGGCCACAGGCAGGGAGCTGGAAGGGAAGTGGAGCAACTGGGATACAAACTGGCATCCATATGGGGTCCCAGTATGTGCAAGGCGAGGACTTTAGCCATTAGGCTATCATGCCAAGCCTGGTTAGCTTTATTTTTAATATTTTTGTGAAAACACACGATTCTGACCAGATCTGAGGTAACCTTCTATTTGTTTTCCTAAATAATCTTCAATTATAGTTGTGATTAATTTGGCAGTTATTAGGAAATATATCTTTAATTTCCAATAAACTTTTTCCTTGAGCACCTTTTGTGTGGAATTTTCATGGGAATGTATCCTATACAAGGTCTACTCGTGAGGCACAAAAGTGCTCATTAATTTTTATACATCTTTTTTGAAGCATTTGAAAATCGTGTCACTTAATTCCCCTGTTGCCCATCTCATTCTTCCAGTACTTAGCCTATCAGTATTGGGCAACACACAACGTACTTGGCTAAGTGGTTCATCTCCCATTCTAGTACATGAGCTCACAACAGCCTGCCTACCTCCAACTACACATGGCAGACAAGGCACAGAAACCAAGTAACCTATGAGGGTTAAAGAGTTATCAATTCACTGCAAGGGATTCATGTATCTAACTTATTTCATCAAAACTATATCTGACCCATCCTCTTAAATTCTTTGCATGCTTAAGCTGTTGCACTTTAGGGTCCAAGAACCACAGCTCTGACATCTTTGAGGAGCTGATTCTTATCTACCTCCCATTTTTGTCTATTACTCCTGTATCCTTGTGTAAGGTCTTCATGTAGCTAGTTCATGTCAGTATGGTCCTTGCTTTAGGTATCATGTAAATAACATACACCACTGTGTATGTCATCTCCTATCTAGCCTATTTCATCCTTTGAATCGCCCATTACATTCATGCTTAAAACCTAATCCTGAGTTTACACTTCCTGCCGCCTCTCGGCTGCGGGTGTGTCCCGGGACAGGGCGTCTCATCCCTGGATCCCACAAGCCCGCCATCATGTGCACATGGTGAGCTGGGCCTGGGTCTGCCTGGGCTCCAGGGCTGCTCCCTTCGGGGTGAGTACACTGACCGAGGGTGGAGGTCTCTGGAGCAGGGCTAGGCAGGCCCACCCGCCGCTCTCATTGGGCGGCGGACAGGATTGAGGTGGGGCGCAACTTTGGGCCTGGGAGTTTACAGTTTACACTTCCTGCCGCCTCTCGGCAGCGGGTGGGTCCCAGGACAGGGCGTCTCATGCCCGGATCCCACAAGCCCGCTATCTTGTGCATGTGGTGAGCTGGGCCTGGGCGGCCAGTGTACCATTTGGTGCCAGGCTTTGCCTGCTGGCCGCCTGGCAGGAAAGCTCTGGGATTTTGGTGGTTTCAATTGCTGCTTATGTAGGTCCACGATGAACCCAATGTGTTTCTGTAAGGTGAATATATCCTACAGATTCCCAATGACAGTTACTCTTCCTTTAAAGAATGTGTTATCACTTAGCAATGCTGACCACCAAATACCAGTTCATGCTAAAGCTATGGCACGGGGCTTGTCCAGTACACACACTAACTGGATTAAGGCTATCGCCAACGAGCGCGTGGGCTAGAATGGGGGCTGTGTTCTGATCAGGTAACAGTTGAAACCTCCCTTGGCACAAGTGTGGACTGGGACTGGACGCACCAGGCTGGACCAGACCCCAGCACTGTCTGGTGTTCCTGGAGGACCAGGATAGACATGGGATGGACTAGGCTAGGTCGCAACCCCTACTGAACCATTTGTGAGCCGTATGTGGTAATGGACTGGATGAGCCGTGGCTGGGCTGAAACATCCAACAACAAGAACCAGCTTGGGTTGAAGGCTAGTCAGGAACTGAGTAGGGCTGGCTCATGGACCCACTGGTATGCACAAAATCTGGCACTGGGAGAGGTTCTGATGGAGGAGCCTAGGCAACTCCTCTGGCAGGACACAGACCCCACGGGTAAAAGTGCAAGAAGCATGAATGGAAACAGCCCAGAGCAGCCCACAAGAAGTTTCCCACTGGCATACATTAGGCATGGATTGTGGGCAGACCAGGCTGAATCAGTTAACATCATCACTGGCAAATCCCAGCACCAGAACAGAGTGAGGGTCGAGCCAGGTTTGGTTGCGATAAAAACCAGTCCACACTACAGAATGCCAGGATGAGGATGTCTGTACCAGATGTGACTGCAGTGCCCATCCAGCACACGTGAGAATCGGGTAGGGAGGGGACAGCCAGCAGGGGAATAAGGGGTGGTTCCCCTGCTGGACAGCTACTACCACTGGAGAGCATGGACTGGGATGGGAGCAGACCAGACTAAGCAGGGCTACAACACCTGTAAGCCTCATGTGGACTAGATCAGGGAAAAGCCAGGCTGGGCTGATTATTCCTACTGGTGCAATCTACAATTAGAGTGGGTGAGGGTTGTTTGGGCATAGCTGCAGCATCAGCTGGCAGAAACTGGTACTGGGGGCTAATTCTGTCAAGTTAAACTGCAGAACCACCTGGAAAGTGCACAATCTGGGAGTGAGAGACCTGGGAGGGAAATAGTGGGTTCCCCCGCTCTTGGGTTACCACTCCCACGGGAGGGCACAAAAACTAGGACAGGGGCTGGGGTGGCTAGACAGACAGGCACTCAGCAACACCCATGAGGGCTTGATTGTTGAGCTGGTTAGATGGATCTAAGCTTCAATGCCATTTGCCATGTACGAGAGCCAAGGGGGATGTGAGACAGACTGGACTGGTCTGCTACACATACTGGCAAACCAGGGTAGGGAGTGGGCCTGGTGGGGGTTATTGCGGGTCACTCTCACCAGGCTGCAGCTCCCACTGGTTTATGTGAGGGCCGAGTATGCGCTGTGCAGAACCAGGCTGGACTGCAACACCCATTGGTTCCAGTAGAAGGCGGGGCTGAAAACAGAACCAACACAGCAATTGCAACTACTAGCTGACCGGGGTGATGGACTGTGCTGGGCCCAGTGCTTGCTGGTGCATACAAGTATCTGGCCTGGGAACACCTCAGGCGAAGTTTCTTTGGCGATCTCCTCATTTGAAATGCCAGACTCAGAACCCTAACCATGAAAGGACAGAAGATGGAACAAGTTAATCAACCACCTCAGCTATAGGTTGGCAACAAAATACCGGGCAAATAGAGACGCTATGATGGACAATGTCAAGCAGTGGATTTTTCAACAACCTCATCGTGTTTGGAGTGGCAAGACTGGCAGCAATTACAAAACTGGTGAACTATCAAAATCACTTAAGCAAGTATCTCAGAGCATGCCCCACATCTGGGACCTAGGGTGGGTGGGAAACCAGGTGGGGCTTCTCCCTCAATATCCCCCTTTACCTCAGATACATGAAGGAAACAATATGGAAATAATAGTCTTTCCCACTTCCCTATAGCCCTTGACCCTTTTTACCCAAATTAATTATGTAAAGATTGTCAAAATTTTAAAAAATTGATTTTTATGATTTTGAAAAATCATAAAATCCTAATCCTGAAAATGACAGCCATGAAGGGGCGGGGTCTTTGGGAAGGATCAGGTCATAGGTTCTGCTGTCATGAAAGGAGGAGGATCCTTTCCAAAGAGTCAGCTTGCTCTGCCTCCATGGGAGGATGCAGGAAGATGCTGTCCGCTGTAATGGGCTTCACCAGGTACAGAATCTGCAGTGTATAACCCTCAACTCCCCAGCCTCTAGAGCCCTGAGGGACACACTCCTGCTGTTTATAAGCCAATGGATCTGTAATACTTTTGTTAATAGCAGCCTGATCAGACTAAGACTTAGGGCATATACCTTCAGTGCCAAAACGTCATTTACTTAGTTTTTCAGAATTGCCAACACTTTGGTTGAGAAGAGGATTCTGTGGTTGCCAGTTCCTTACGTCTCAGGATTCTGAAGGTTTCTTTGCACCTCTTGCATCATGTAACATTCTAAATGACAGATGCCTAAGAGCAGCTGATTCTCCACCAACCCTTCTGGTGGCAGACTGCCTAATTTTCTCTGTTGCCCACACTGGTTTTCTCTATTTGACATACAGACAACATCTGCAGATATAAAGACACTTCAAAGAGCTTGTGGAAATGTGTATTATGGAGAAACTAATTTCAAAAATGATTTGTATCACTTTCCCACAAACCTTTTAAAATACCCTCATATTTCTGAAGGAACTCTTACATTAAGGGCAAACTCTTATTTCTTTGGTTGGTGTATTTTATCTCTTTCTATACAGATCATTCTTTTCTGGCTGCCATTCATAAAACTTTGCAGAGCAATTTTCCATGTTCTAATTTTTCCATAATTTCCATTTGCTTGCTTTCCTACCGGGATGAATCTTCATTGATCTCCTAAACCGTTATGTCAGCCTTCAACAACACCTGCTTTGCTGGTGAGTATACTGTCAGAAGTGCTGCTGCCAGCTTCCTTGCTTCCCAGATTCCTCGTCTCCAAACCTTTGGCTCATCATGATTCCTCACCCCATAGGTGTGACCCTTTTCTAGAACCTTATACTAGGTAGCATTTCCTTAGGAAGACCTTCCAGTGTTCTTGAATGGTCAGGCTCTTCTCTTTAAGACTGTTAATTGTTCTTGATTTATTTGCCCCTCAGATCTCTAAAGTCTTAGGTCAGACAGCTTAGACTTGCCCTTAGCTGGGTTTTGGTTTTTCCAGCAGGTACACCCATAGGGGTAACACAAGAACGTAAAATTCTACAGGTTGCTTTTAGCCTGGGTGTGATGGGCAGGCAGGGCAGGCTGAGAGCTCAACTTCCATAGGAGACAGTGAAGAGATGAGGGACCTAAGCTGGCAACGTATTTGTGGGGTACCAGGGAAGGAGGCACCCTACCGGCAGAGGCTGGGTCCATGCAGTTGGAATCTTCCATGCATGCTTGCTGTTCAAGGGCTGCTCTGTTTCCTTTCTCTGGTCCTGAGACACTCCCAGTGCTGAGCAGTCTTTCCCAGATGCTCTTTCTGCCTTAAGGACTCCAGGGCCCATAGTCTGCAGTCTCCCAGCCTGAGCCTGCTGCAAGGCTGCACTGGAACACGTCTCCCAGGAAGCTCCTTTTCTGGTCTTTGCTGGGCTTGAGTTGAACCAACTCCCATTTGCTTCCCTGTCAACCGGGTGACATCTATGCCCTCCAAAACATCCCAACTTTGGTTCTAAAGGCATGAGACTTCTCTCCATTCCTGCCCTCCCCTGCTAACCTTCCTTCTGATTTTAACATGTCAATCAAATGGAATTTTAGGCAGATGAAATCAACATGTAATGAACACGTGGGGCTATCTCCAGCCATCGATTATCTTGAATGGAAAACCTCTAGAGAAATAATGTTGAGGTTTATAATGAAAAATAAAATCAAGTGGAAGAAAAAGCACTTCATTCTGAAGTGTGAAAGATTCTAAATGATGTCTGATTTGAAATGCACAATGCATATAAGCGAGTAAACAGATCCACAGGTCTGTGTACCCATCACTATGAAGTGCTTACCTTGGACAGTGGAATGAGAAAATCCAGTTTGTATGAGAGGATCACCCTGGTGAGCAGCACCACAAACACCACATAGGCAGAATTCTCGAAGTCAGTTAGCTGAACCTAAACAAGCAGAAGTCCAGAGTCATGGACCAAAAACACAGTGGCGCTCTCCTGACAGACCTACCCGCCCTTTATATCATGTCATTCCTAAGCCATCTCCAAGGTCTGGAAATCCCATGCCTAGAACTGTTCTCACACTTCAACCCTCCTGAGCTGCTGGATTTGCTTAACACACACACACACACACACACACACACACACACACACTTCACTTTCACAGACTTATGAATTAAAAAACCTCCTGATACAAGTATTGGGAGGGTCCTGAATAAAGAAGAGTGTTTTTATGTCATCTCCCACCAAAGCATGTGTCTCACCTCCATGGGTCGGAATTCCACTCTCCAGCCAATATCTGAGTTTGGAGGAGGCGGCTTAAACCTCATTGTCTGCCAATTTGTGGACTGAATATTCTGGAACAACAAGTAGAGAAAATAAAAAACAATTTTCTGCAAGCTCAGGAACACATTAAGATGTTCTGACATTTAACTTGGAAAGGAGCCTGCTTAGCGTCCATGCCAAACACTCCCCAATTTACAAATACAAAAAAAAACAAAAAAAAACAAAAAAAAAACCACGTTGTAAGATTTTCTGGAAGGGTGATGTGCTAAGAAAACAAAACAGCAAGTGTTTCACAAAAACCAGGCGGGGTGTTTGTGGTGCTAAAATAACTAATGGTTATTTATTCTTTTTTTAAGATTTATTTATTTTTACTGGAAAGGCAGACTTTTAGAGGCATACATCAGAACCCTTTCTCTCTTGGCAAACAGAAAATACTGCCCTGAATATATGTCCAAATCTAGGAGATATCCAGTCAGAACTGCAACACTGAGTATTCACAATGAATTTTTAGTTCTTAGTTCTTTACTGCTCTAGGGGATGAATGGTGTGTTAGATTTCCACCATCACTACTTTCTCACAGGTAGAGAAAACAACTTCTTTCTTGGCAATGTATTTAAAACAGAGGAAATACCTCAAAATGGTCAGACTCATTAGCATCATCCAGGTGTATTTTCTCCTCAAACAGAGTCAAGGGGTCTCTGATGAAGAGATGAGCCACATGCTGGGCCAGGAGATGATCGATGCCTGCAAAGACAGAGCACGTGTGCTCACTGCCAAGGGCAGGGCACCAGTTCCTCCCAGCACACAACCTGAAGGCAGGGAGACTGAGGCGCCTGGGCAACGGCTGGCTTGTTCAGCGTTCTCACCTCGCCTGGGCCTTTCTCCTACGGGCACTGGGGAGGAGCCAGCGATTTTGTTGCTACATACACCATGCCTGTTGGGCACTGGTGTGGACCTAGACACAGAGCTCCAAAGCAGGTTCCTTTTGCTAAAAGTCAAGATCGTCTCACAAGAATTTGGAACTTGGAAACTATGAACAAACAGCCTAACAAGAAAGTTAAGAGACTTCTCATTAAAAACAGAAATTGGATCAGGAGTCAGCAAAACACAAAGTTGCTAAAGAACTAAAGGCGTACCATCCAACCAACAGGCATGGAGACTCACCTTCCTTTAACAGCTGATCGTAGATTTCTTTATCTATCGTCAAGTCAATGTCATTATACTTCTCGCCACACTTGGACAAGTAGCTGTCTATTGAATCATATCGTGATTTACTAATCCTATATTTACTGTTCTTCAGTGGCTAAAATTTAAAAATATATACGATTGAATAACATGAAATGATTTGGAACTAGACTAACACCCCAATGTACTACATTAAAATACTATATATTTGCATAGAACAATATAAAAATCTTAAAATCAGAATGAAAAAAGTTAGTGAACCCTAGAAAGCCTTACTAGGAAAAATCACATTTTATAAAAATCTGGGGGGCAATTTAAGTATCCTTTTATTTTCTGACATGATTTAGATACTTTTTACAGTGGGTCATTTTTCAATCCTATCAAGTTAAGAAAACAAATGTCAGTGTCAGAAGTAAAAATAAACCCATACTATAAAACAGGGCTGTTGATGAAAAAGACCTTGCCTTTGAAGTTTATTTCCACTTATAAAGCACATTCAACAACTTAAGAGTAACTTAACGTGGTACTTGGACATGTCACCATCCCCTGTTGGAGTGCCAGTTTGAATCCTGTGGAACTTGGGGGGAGCAACTGATGGAAGCATGTCCCCTGCATAGCAAAGGGAAGAGGTTTCAAATTCCAAAGTCAGAGGGAGGTGGAAGGTCTCTGAACAAGCAATGGGCCGAGCTGGTGCTGTCCCTGAGACTTTAGGGATGGACGCGTCCAAGTCAGATCTCTTCTTGCCCCTTCCCCCAAGAAATGTCTCCTTTTAATCAAGTTATTTTTGGATGTGCGTTGTCCCCCGCAGGCCACAGAGCAGCAGCAGGACAACCTGGAGTGTGAACATCAGATTTACTTGTGGGACAGCTTTCTTCAAAAAACATCTCTGTCCCAGGTCGCAGTCCTGGCAATGCTTATTTATTGGTCTAGAATGGGGCCTGGTGTCTGATTTAAAATCTACAAGGAGTTCAGATATTCACCCTTGGCTGCAGAAATGCAGGGTTACAATACCACAAGCAAACAAGAAATGTTCATGTGAAAACAAAAAAAAAGGATTTATTTTTATTGGGAAAACAGATTTATAGATAGAAGCAGATACAAAGAAAAAGATCTTCTGTCTGCTGGTTCACTCCCCAAGTGGTCACAACAGCTGGAGCTGAGCTGATTCAAAGCCAGGGGCATCTTCCAGGTCTGCCTTGTGGGTGCAGGGTCCCAAGGATTTGGACCATCCTCTACTGCTTTTCCAGGCCACAGCAGGGAGCTGGATGGGAAGTAGAGCAGCCAGGATATGAATCTACGCCCATATGAGAGCCTAGCATGTACAAGGTGAGGATTAAGCCACTGAGCCATCATGCCAGGCACATTAATTATCCTTATTAAGCAAATCCTAACACTTTCTGTGGGGAACAAAAAAAAAAAGAATGTGACATCACCCTTTCTCAGCAGAAAGCATCCATAAAGTACTTTGATAGCCCCAAGAAGCATTTTGATAAAATTAGTCATCAGCACCAACTTTCAAAATATAGAAAACTGGCACTACTAATGTTAAAAGAAATCAAAACACAGATTGCAACAAATGATAATTTAAAAATTAATTCCCCATCCAAACCAAAGCACATACCCCACATACTCACAGTGAAATAAAGATAGGTTTACTGGACCTGGCATGGTAGCCTAGTGGCTAAAGTCCTCACCTGGCTTGTGCCAGGATCCCATATGGGCCCAGGTTCATGTCCCGTGGCCCTGCTTCCCATCCAGCTCCCTGCTTGTGACCTGGGAAAGCAGTCGAGGATGGCCCAAAGCCTTGGGACCCTGCACCCAAGTGAGAGACATGGAAGAGGCTCCAGGCTTCAGACTGGCTCAGCTCTTGCCATTGAGGCTGCTTGGGGAGTCAACCAGGACAGAAGATCTTTCTCTCTCCCCCTGTCTCTTCTCTGTAAAATCTGACTTTCTAATAAAAATAAGTAAGTATTAAAACAAAGATAGGTTTACTAAGTTAATGCAAGATATTAGAGAAGTCATTACAATGACCCTACTAAGGAAGGGATATTAGGGAAAGACCATTCCCACCTCCAGGCCTCTCTCCTCCCGAGTTCTGTCGTCTACAGATGCAGAAATCACTCCCCAGCGACAATCAATGTCAGACACGTAGCCTCGGTAAAAAGGAGACGCAGCGCTGAGAGCCATCTAGAAATAGACAGAAGTCAGCTCTAGGTTCAGGGCATCACTTACATGCTGGAAAAGCTCCGACAGTTACTTTCTGTTTAACAACAATGCAAACCATACCAGTTTTACCATATATACTTGTACCTGATTATTTTTTTATATCAGTTTCCAAGTAATTTAACTGTGTTGCAGAGTAAATGTCAAGAACATTTATGAGAAAAAAAAATCTAAAACACAGTGAAAATTTACAATGTTTGGCATCCAATAAGTAAATGAATGAATGAATGAATAAAAAAAGGTATGCAAAGACATGGAAAAACATGTAGAAAACTCAAAACTAACCCCAAAATGACGGATATTGTAACATTTGTAAACAGCGCCATACAAACCATTAGTATAATTCTTTCATTTGCTCAGTTCATTATAGAAAATGCTGGAAATGTTAAGTATATGAACATGAAATTTACTCCCTAAAAGAAAAATCATAGATGTATTTCGCTGTAAGGAAGCAGGCACATCAGAAGCAACTCAAACCTCTGGGCTTGGGCCATTTAAATCATCCCCCTTATCCTGTGCAGACAGGCCAGAGAAAATGGCCACACTCAAACCTGAACGTGAATACATATAAGCTTTACAGTGATGGTACACTTGCACAGCTTCATTAATTCCAAATATATTTACTATACAGATTGATTTTAAATGACATTTTGACTTAGTATAAATCAGCAAATTCTATACATACAATCTTCTTTTATACAAAGAAGTACTTAAGTAAAGGTGGAATTTCTACTTACAACAATTGGGCAGATTGTGGCCAACTGATCATAAAGGTATCGGGCCTCAGATATGCTGCAGGCTTGGAATGTCACCTGTTTAAGAATTAGAAGTTATTAATGAAATAAACACTCATCAGCTGGTAGTGCCTGAGCAGGAAGGAGGCTGGGAAAGAGGCGGCCAAAGTCAGGCCTGCTGTTTTGCTGATGACAACAGGCAATGCAAGAGTTTTAGCTAAAAGCTTTTGTGGGTAAAATGAGTATGTTTCCCTTCCAGTTTTTCTGCTTGGCTTCTCTTAGATGGCCTAGGATACCGGAGGCAATTCATACACAAACCCTAGAAAAGTATGCTTCAAGAAAATTAGCAACTGGAGCTTGGTAGTTCGGTTCACTTCGGTGAAGTAACTTAGGTAATTTAAATGATGAATTTGGTAACCACCTTCCTCACTCTAGGGCTGACAGGCAGTGACCATCACATCAAACAGGACGGCACTATGGACAATGTCTTTAAGAAGCAAAGAAAAGGTGTAATAGCTTATTTATTTTTGGCTCCTGATGTCTTCTTTTTTTCAAAAGATTTATTTGTAAGAGTCACAGAGAGAAAGAAAGGGAGAGACAGTGACAGAGGTCTTCTATTTGCTAGATCATTCTCCAATCTAGGTTTGCCACATAAGTGACAGGGACCCACACACCTGGGCCATTTTCCTCTGCTTTCCCAGGGAGCTGCATCTGATGTAGAGCAGCTAGGACAAGAATCAGCACCCATATGGGATGCTCCATATCGCAGGTGGTTGCTTTACCCACTGTGCCACATGCCAGCTCTTTTGAGTATCTTTTATAAAAAATAAACCTAATAAAAAAAATCTAATGATTACATTTTTGAGCAGGGTGGGAACGATCAAGGTTTAGAGAAACTGGGTGAACTCATTGTTTCCAATTTTGCAATTTCTTCTTGTTGTTTCTGGGGGAAGGGGAGAGACAAAGGGGAAAGCCACACATGACTTTCTAAATATCCCAGTACCCACGGATGAGGAACCGTGATCTGGTATCCTTTTAAAGCATCAGATAAAGAGACTCAATGTAACTAGGACACTGAAAAGACAGAGAAAAAGGGAGCACAATGAAAGTGGATGTTAGAAATCTAAATATCAAATAAAAAATTCACCTAAGTTTGAAGCCACATAATTTTCTTAAGGGAAAAAAGTAATCATAGCATATCATGAACTTACTGCTAATTTATATAAGATTCCCAAAAAGATCAACAGGTCAAGAATTTGAATGTGGTTAATATCTTTTTCTGTTTTCCATAGTAAAGTTCTTTATTAGCCCTAAGAAAATTACTCTGAGGGACCAGCGTAGTGACTCAACAGGCTAATCCTCCACTTCCAACACTGGCACCCCACATTGGCACCAATTCAAGTCCTAGCTGTTCCACTTCCCATCCAGCTCACTGCTTATGGTCTGGAAAAGCAGTGGAGGATGGCTCAAGTCCTTTGGCCCCTGCACCCATGTGGGAGACCTGGAAAAAGCCCCTGGCTCCTGGCTTTGGATAAGCTCAGCTTTGACCACTGTGGCCATTTAGGAGTGCACCAGCAGTAGTAACATCTCTCGTTTCTTGTCTCTGTAAAAATCTACCTTTCCAATAAAATTAAATAATTTTTTAAAAGTACTCTGAAACCTCTTTTTCTGCTTTATTGTAATAAGCAGTTTCTGGTGTTTTACTTAAAGGGATGCAAAGCTCTTTGTGGAGTTGACTTGACATATACTTCATATTATCTGTGCTAACGATTTTTGTCAAAGTGGACATGCCACTGGGGAAAAACAAACTTAATCCTAAACCTGTGACTAAAATTGAAGACAGCTGTATTTTCAGGCAACAAAAATGCCCATTAGGGCACATTTATTCATACAAAAGCAGTGTTTCAAGAGAAGACTATCACTTTGGAGCTTGTATTACAGCCCACTCTGTGATCCTTGGCAGAACATCCTGGCTAAATATTAAACTAAGCAAAGGCAAATGGTACTCTGATAGCACTTGCAATTTCAAAGTCATGTACTTCAAGTTCTAGAGCTTAATGATTCTCTTTAGAAACACGTATAATTAAGATAAGAAAGCAGATATATAGTTAAAAGTAAAAAGGTTTAGGGAAAAAATGTGACTTTAAGAAAAATGTGATCATTTCAGAGCAAACTTACTGGCCTGTGTTTGTTTTAAAACAAACTATTTGCATGTCATGAAAACAGTAAAAGAATTCACTGGCCATGTTAATTTAACAGATTCAGCATTCAGAATGAGAAAAGCAGCTCTGCTGTTGGATCTGGATGATAGTTTTAGAGAACAAGTAGACTGGACACAGGCAAGCAGGTTTATGGGAAAACTGAGCTCAAAGTAGCAAAAGGTGTCACCCGAGGCTCCGTGCCGGGGCAAAGCCAGCACTCCACTGCACACCTGCGCTCTGCCTCACGAGTTCTCGGCCAGTCTGGGCACCACTTTAGTCAGGGGGCATCAGTAATCCAAGTGAGTCAACAGAGAAAGGCTACCTTACTTCCCAGGCAACTTGGCTAGTGCCAAGGCCAACAAACAAGAGTTGCTATTTTTTTCTTTTTACACTGTTCAACCTTACTAGCCTGTCACTAGATGGCAGTAAAAAATTACGCCTGTGGTAAGGGAATGGAGCCAGTGTTGAGACACTTCTGCATTTTAAATTACTGAAACAAACACATGCCATTGTGGTGAGCTGCAGGTTGTTCTACAGAGCTCTCCATCTAAGAGATGGCTCCCCAGGAATGCACTACAATGATTCCAATGCTTTCTGAAATACTAGCTCTCACAACCTGTTTAAAATGTGATTTTTTTTTCTAAAGACAGGAAACGTGCAGGTATATTTAATAAAAGTAGTTAAACACAAGTGGATGGAGAAACTTAACCTCTCTGTATATTTGAAATAGTACCTGGAGACAACAGTTGCCCATTCCAAATCCCATGGCGTCCATGTAAATATGGTCTGGCTTAGAAGCCTTTGCTGTCTCCTCATCCTTGGGAAATGATTCTATAAATGGAGATGGTGTGTTCTTGTCCTTAAATACTGTGGAAAGTGAGGAAACAGTTGAGAGTTGAGAATTAAACAACAGCTCCACAGGTCTCTCCCACCCACCTCTCTGCCAACTTACTTGGCACGTTGATGGCCACCTTCTCTCCTCTCCTATGCCGTATATTTCTCGTTAGGGTACTAAAATAGACAACCAAATGGCATACATTGGTTACCAAACCCTGAAGGTTAAGTAAGCTGATTACGTCAAGTAAGTGAGGTGAGTGTTTAGCTCAGTAGCTGAGATGCCCACAAACCACACGGAAGCTCTTGAGGTTTAGCTCTAGCTTCTCATGCCAATTTCCCCACCAACACAGGCCTTGTAAGCGACAGGAGGCAAGGAAAATGGTTGGGTTCCTACCACCAACATGAGAGCTGGATTGAATTGCTGGATTGCTGACCCCCAGCTTTAGTTTCAGTGCAGCCTAGGTCACTGCAGTCATTTAGAGCATGGAACAACAAACAGGAGTGCTCGCTTTCTGACTCAAATAAAGCACAGAGGGAGTAAATGGAATGAAATCTATCTCAAACTAATTCTCCCTGAAAATTCCACTGAAACCATGTGACTAGCTACTCTGAAAGGTTTTGCCTGAGTTTGAATACTTCAAACTCAGCTCTTGCTCCTATGGTTCCTGATTACCACATCGAGTATAAGTGCTCAGGGTTGAGTTTCAATCTAACATTTATGTTAACTGCCAAGACTGGAGTCAAACCTTAGTACTCACTTCCCCTAGGCAGCTCTGGAGGCCTGTGCCTCGTGTCTCCTTCTTGCCTTCCACTAATCGGCACCATTAATACTCATCCTTCAGACCTGTACTAGGCCACAGGCTACCAGGCACACTGTGGGCTACTGAGCACTGATGAAAACATGAATGTGACAATCCAATACATACCAGAGTGTGAAAACTTAATACAAAAAAGAAAGAGTAACGATTCTTAATGATTTAAAAATACTGATTGCATGTTGAAATAACATTTTGGACATGGACAACTGTTAGAACATTCTGAAGTTAATCTCTTCAATTTCTTACTTTAGCATAACAACTAGAAAAATATACAATTACACATTGGTGGCTTGCATGTTTGCACTGGGCAGAGCTGGTGAAGCCCCTTGGTGAAGCTTGCTGTGATCTCAGCACACTCCTTTCTCAAAGGACGATTTCTGGCATATTTTGACATATATCACCATCTAACTTTTCTTGTAGCTAAACAGTTTAATTTTAAGCACGTTAACATTTAACGCTGGAAACGATCTCTATAAGTCTTTATCTTTCCTCAAAGACACCACGTACAGCTGATGACCATGTACAGCTGATGTGTGGGCCTGTGAGGAAGCCCCCGAGTGTCTCTAACTGTGGGTCAGGAGCCCACCTCAGGGTGATGAGTGAGCATTCAAGGTCCATAGCTAGGGTCAGACCTGAAGTAATTTCAAACCTAAGACCTCATTACAAAGCAGTAGACCTAAAAGTTAACAGAACACAGGAAGAGAGTACCTTTTATGTACACTGGGTGTTCTATGTGTTTTATTATCAAGGAATGGAGAGGGAGATGAGCAGATCATAGACACTGGTGGTAACTTAGGAGGGGGAAAAAGGCAATAATTAAGGGGAAAATGACACACAATAGATGTTTAAAGAACCAGGGTCAAAACTCCATCAAGTACCCATTAGAGGGGAGGACAGTGGCCACACTTAGGACTTTAAGATGACCCAGAGAGTCTGAGTGCAAAGAGCAACAACCAAGCAGACATGGGAATCCTGGGACTGGAATCAGGTGGCTGTCTGCTATCTCCTCCAGTTTATAGGAAAGGAGCCAGCATTCCGCACAGGACAGGCACGCTGTGCTCTGGAAGACAGATTTGTGCACAGGGCAACTGCATTTCAACACCAAGTCAAACTCACCTGAAGCGGGGGTGCTTGTTTATGGCTTCATCTGGAAAGAAGAGTGACTTGGAAGCTCCGCCTTCGACTGGGTTGGGTTTGTACTCCGGCAGTGTGAACCCAGGACAGCCTAATCTACAACAAAGAAGAACTAAATAGATGGGAAGTGTTTTCAGCAATGAACTGCATGGAGTCTCGTCATCCCTGCACCTGTCAAACATTTTGATCACTCCCTTTGGCAGGTGGTGGTCCTGGCAGGGCTTTTGTGCTTTCAGACACCGAGCCCCCTCACAGCTGCTCCCACTCACCTCCTCTTCTTGCTCCTGCAGGAGTCTAGTTCCTAACGTGCCTATTTTCCCAGTCTCCCCTCACCTACCTTTCAGAGCACTGACTCAGGCCTTCCCTTCTGCTCCTCTGACGGGAATGCACAGCTCAGAAGCTGCTTCCTGAGGGTAGATGCGTGTTCTCAGCTCACTGGTGTCTTCCCACTCAGCCCCTGAGGTTGCCTCCTTGACTGGCTCTAAGCTTGGATGATCTTTGACCCTGGGATACGTATCAGCAATGCTCCCACCCTCCTGCTGGGTTTTGCTGTAAGGTGGTAAGGCTCTCCTGTGCCCCTCCAGGTCACCTCAGGTGCCCCTGTCCCTCCCTGAGAGCACCCTCTGCAGTCTGACACCCAGCCCTATTTCATTATTTGACCTGAAGGATGGCCTTGGGTTCCATACAGAAAAAAAGTAGCTGAAACATCCCCACAGTTCTTGCCAAGCTAGCAGCTAAGGTCAATGTTAAGTGTGCTGTGAAGGAGACAAACACTGACACAGTGAAACCAAAATAAGGGAGGCTCTTGTCAGGGTGCAGACAAGTGGCAGGAAGCTGCAGCCTGCAGGCCAAGGCTAGCCCATGCCTTGGTTTAGCCCCGTCTTTAACCTGTGTCCATAGTCATCTGTAAACAACTGAAGTGCTGTTTTTATCTGGAAAACAATTTTCAGCTATTGTAAGGGCTCAATGATTTTTTTGCCCCTCCCCATTGCCTTCTAAAAGGTGGTCCCCAAACCTAGTCAAAACAAACCTCTCCCTGCCAGAACCAGCATCCCACATGGGCATCAATGTGTGTCCTGGCTTCACTTCCCATCCAGCTCCTTGCTTATAGCCTGGAAAACCAGAAGATGACTCAAGTCCTGTCCACCCTCACCCACCTGGGATCTTTCCTGAAGTCCTGGAGAGGAGACCGGCTTTCACAAAAGGAATGAACATTAGAGTCTACCAAAGGCAGCACGTGCAGTATGCAACTACGAACAAAGCCCGACGCTTACGGCAGGGAATGCCTGCCTGGGTTGTAATCTGCTCTTTTTCTTGCCAACAGCTCTCGTTTTATCTGCTGGGGCAGGGTAATTCAGAAACTAACCTGGGAAACGACGTTATTGTGCAAAGAGCCTGATTTTCTCCCAAGAGAGAAGAGGCCTCCTTCCGGCGCTTTCGCATGTTGTCTTCCACGGTGTTGAACTCGGACATGGTTCCTCCATAGGGCTGTCCAGGGGTCCCTTCAATCATGTAACTCCCGTACTCTGGTCTCCAAAGGGTGGGGTGGCTGCAGAGAAGAAACAGTGGAGATCTACCTTATTCTCTCTGCTGCGGTCCACACAGCTTCCAAAGCTGCTTCAAAGTTTTTGAAACCATTAGGTAATCATGAAGCTAAGAATCCCTTTATGCTTCCTCAAAGTTGTTAACCTTCTATAGCTCTTCAACTACAAAAGGATTAAAAAGAACAGGGTCCAAAATATATACAAATAAATGAAAATGTACACAAAACACTCTCTGGCCGGGACAAGCTAGTCTGCTTGGCAGGACTGAAGATGAAACCTCAGGGATGCTTCCAGATCAGTGCTGGCACCCAAGCTCAAATGTGGCTTTCCAAAACCAGTAATTTGGCCCATCACAAGGACATTCCAGCTGGAGTGGAAGCAGAGTAACTGGGACTTGAACCAGTGCAATAATATGGATGCAGGTACGGTACTAGACAGCTTAGCCTACCGCCCCACACTATGCTGCCATCCAGCCCCACACTGTGCTGATCCTTTGCCCAACTTCTGTGCACTTTAAAAATGTCATGCCAGTTGGACAAACTCAGTCTGCATGGTATATAGAGCACCATCATTTGGGATCCCAGGTACATTTCAATGATGGAGTCTAACAAATGTGTAACCAACTGTTACTGTGCCAGGTGCTTATGCATATTATTGTATCGAATCTCAGTGCCTTGGCATTAGCTATTATTAATTTTATAATGAGAAAACTGAGGATGGGGAGGTTAAACTGCTTGCCCAAAGCCACTCAGCCACCATTAGAGAAATCAGGATTTGGAACTGCTGTGCCACCTTGCCTCCCGGGAAGCTGAGGGGGGTATGTATGAGCAGTCCAGGAAACCCACGAAGCCTTCAGCATCAGCTTACTTTGGGTTTGTCCTTTCCCCTTGCTCTTGTAGCGTTTCAAGGACTTGCTCCCCGGACAGGACCAACTGGACTTTTTTATTTTCGTGATTGAAAGATACCAACATGTATTCCACCTGTGGAAAACAAAGAGCAAAAAAGGTTAACATTCTCCAGACTTGTGTGACCTTCCTAGAAGACAGCAGGAAAATGTGAAGACTGCAAGGAATCCACGTGACCACGCACAGGCACACTGCTTCCACCAAGGCACGGGACAGGTGCCACCTGCCAAGAGGGTCAGGCAATCCTGGCAGTGTTTGAGAACAACTGCTGCTCTACTATCCCTTCCCTTGCTCCGGTTCCATTGAGTGATCCAGAGAACGGTCAAGATGGTTATTTTGACAAATTATACTGCAAAAAAAAGGTGGATTTCAAAGCTACAATCTAAATTGTACTTGTTTATTCCCTCAGTTGTCTTACTCAAAGGTTAACAAAGATTTAACCTGGGCATTTCAGCCAAGGTATGCTTCCCTGCTGGTAGAATTCATAGTAATCCCAACACAAGTCTTCCATATGTGGAGCTCCTCCATAATGTAGAGATGTTATGCTAAGGTTTTGATTTACCATGAATAATTTCAGGCAACATTTCCACTCTGAAACCATCAAATCTACAATGCAAGGAGCAGGGAGTGAATTCTGGTTAAACTCATAGGTTAAAAACACTGTCCCCAGAGGCCAACCCCAAAGGGCCTGCCTCATGTTGGTCTGTGAGCCTTTCTAAGAGGTGAACCAGGACAAGCCTCCTTGTTTTATAGTTTTGTTGGTCATGAAAAGCCATCACAACCAGGATCTGTGATGCAAATGAAACACCCATTATCTGTATATGTAAAAAGGTGAGACTCACAGGTAAAAACCTGTGAGACTTCAAAAATGTGCATGAAAAAAGGAATTCAGAGACTAGTTTATTTTGGGGTAAAGAAATTTGAAATACACTGATTTTTTTTCTCATAACACACATTTCCGGGAACAGTTTGAAGACCCCCTCATGTAAGTTAAATTGCAGTGAATTTCTTTAGTGTAGTTTGGAACCAAAAAAAAAAAAATTTATTTTCAAAATCATTCCTAGCCCATGGCAAGACAAAAAAGCAACAAGCTCTAACTCATTTTGAATTGTAAATAACAGCCAAATGGTTGACATTTAAATGCTAACAAACCAAACTCTCCTTAATTAAAAAAATAATGACTGGATGGTCTCACTGAACAAATAAAACAGGAAAAAAAAAAAAAAACCCACTTCACCAAAGAAAGAAAACCTTTTTGATAAAAAAGGTTAGTTCTGTGGGAAGCCTTAAGAATCTCCTAAACATTTCACACACACATTCAAGGCCTCCTAAAGCGGGTTCGGTAACCTCGTGGTTCTTGTCATTCAATCTCCCCTGCTAACTCAACACATCTGTGTTTACTTCCTAGTCCACTAATACCGCAACTAAATAAATGAATCTTTAACAACACAAACCAGAGCCGAGATGGAGTTTGGCTCAGTGACCCAAACAACGAATGGTAATAAAAAATGCCAAGGATGGGCATTTGTCCCAGTGCTTGGGGTGCCTTTTAGTCCCTGGGTCTCACCTTGGAATGCGGGTTCAGCTCCTGGAGGATAGCCCAGGAGGCAGAGGTGACCAGTAACTGGTAGCTTGCCACCCAAGAGAAGGATCTGGAGTGAGTTCTCACTTGGCCCCCTGGAACCTGGGACATTTAGGAAGGGAACCAGTGCACTGAAGCCCTCTCTAACTCTCAAAATGTAAGAGGAAAAATAAAACTTTTAATTTGACTGCAAATAAGAGTTACACAGCGAGTATGAGAGAAAGTGACAAAGAGACAGATCTTCCATCTACTGTTTTACTCCCCCAAACAGCCCAAACAGCCAGATCCGGGCTAGAGCTTCTGGATCCCTCATGTGGGTGCAGGAGCGCCAGGTCTCAGGTCATCCTCTGCTGCTTCTGCAGGCTATCAGAAGTGGAACAGCTGGAACTCGAACCAGCACTGATACAGAATGCTGGGCTGGCTGATTAAGGTACTTATGCTACCTCACTGACCTCAAGAAAAAAAAAAAAAACACTTTTTAAAAAAGGTGATATGTTGTAACAGTACTGTCTCAATATAAAGCACTTAGAACCACAATAACTTGGATTTTGGTCCCCAACTTGCGCTTGCTTTTTGCACACAGAAGGTGAGAGGAACTGACCAAAGACGCAACAGCAGAACAGGATACGGAGGCCCTTCTGCTCCACAAGGCTGTCTGGGAGGGTTACCAGGACATCTGCCCCTTACCGTGGGCTCTGCTTCTTCTGTGGTTTCTGTTTCTCAGGTCCAAAAACAGAAACACTTGTCTTTGCCACAAAACAGACCACATTCACATATCTTTTACTACACTAGCAAGGGGCCTGACTTCCAAAAGTTCCTGAAAACGTGCACTATAAACAACCTATATGGAGTTCACCTTTCTATTCCATTTTCCACAAGCTTTTTGAAGTAGCTGTGTACTGTTACAATTGATCTGTTTTATTACTGCTGCGGTGTTGTTGTTAATCCCTCAAGGGCCTAATTTATAAGTTAAATTTTATCACAGATGTGTACCTATAGGAAAAAAAAAGATCCAGTATTGTGCCCTATTCATGCTTTCAAGCATTTATTGGGTAATTTAAAACAAGTCGGGGGAAGGGTCCACGGACAGCCATCATCTTTTGAGATTTGAATAACTTGTCAACCCTGACTTCCAGTGCATATGCTGCATACACATATAACCCTACAAGTTTTTACTCAAAAAGCATTATAAAGGGGTTGCAGAGTAACTAATTCAACTTCCTGTGGTTAACTAACATCACAAAGCAGCAAGAAGACAAAGCACCAGTGACTGAGCTCGGTTCCCCACGGCACACAGATCACACTCCCCAGATGTGACCTAGGGACAGTGCTGGTTCAGAATGACGGTTGGCTCTCGTGGTAAGGGAGAACCGGAAAACCAGCCCAGCAAAAACAACTGACCACTGTGCTTCATATTCACATTTCAAATATGCATGCTTTCAACAAATCTGAATTAAAATCCTCTTAGACTTCTATTATCCCCATCTAAGTTGTTGAAAACACAAAGACACAAAGCCTCTAATATACTTTGCTTTATGTGTTATATAGTGTTGCTAAGAACCAACTGGACGCAATGATCCTGAAGTCACTGGATGCAGGTTTGAACAAGGGCGAGGCTGCTTTATGTGCATCTGAAATTAGGCCAATACAAATAAAGACTCTTAATGCAGTGCCCTGCTGAATACAGTGTAGACATCTGGCAAAGTACCTGTGCTATTGAAGTTTAAAGTAAGTTAACAATAGCTTGCATCAAATTTTAGGACATTTGCAAAGTCTAAATGGCACTTGCCTCTAGCATAAAAAAAAAAGTTTTTATGCATTCTGTTTTCCAATTTGAGGATAATGATTCCAGGAACCTTTAAATTTGAAGGACTAGAAATTTCCTGAGAAACGAATGTTGCTGTTTCCGCTCCCTGGAGATGAGAACATGCGTGGCCAGAAAATAATCTAAGGCCCCGCTTTAGAAAGGCTGAAGTTTGGGAGAGTGCCTTTTCAGTTCATGTGTTGATCTAACAAAGTTCCCCCTTGCAGGTGTGTCAGCTACCATCCTGCATCTGACCTCTGCAGAGAAGGACCCTACTTTCAAGTTCTTTAGGGACAAAGAGCCATGAGGCCCTGCACTCTCAAGACAGCTGGCTCTCACAAAAAGGAAGCATTTGAGTAGTTTAGTCTAAAGTTTTATCAAATTCTTAAAACATTGCATGCCAATTCATGCCACAGGCTTATTAACTCATGATACATTCTAGGGAAAAATTTACATTTTTGGAAACCAAAATAAACATGGCCTCACCCTGACCTGGTCTTCTGTTAGCCTCATCAACTAGGACTTTTGCTTACAGACAGGCTTTTTTATTTATATCACATGAAACTCCATTTGAACATTGCATAGAAGTCCATGAAATGACTCTCTGAATCACATCTTGGTCCACTTGGAGAAAGCATGCCTAGATTATAGATAGGAGACCCAAGTGCAAAACATACGGGCTTTACAAAGGCCATCACGAAACTCCTTCCTTCTGAACTCAATCTAGCAGAACCTAACCAGGTTAGGTTCTTCATCCCCTCAGGAAGGGCAGCCAACGCATTGAGTTACGGATGTTTGCTGTGGTCACCAACACGACACAGACACACTGCGATTCGGAAACCTACAGCACAGGGTATTTCCTTACAGGAACAATACTGTAACCACGAGCAGCTCGTATTTACAACAGAGCACCTGCACTTCAGGATGGCAGTGCCTGGCCTCTAAGGACAAGCAATTTCCTTGGCTCTTTCCTGACAACACACTCCCCTGCTGGGATGCAAGACAGGACAGCCACCAGGAGGAGGAAATCCTGGTCCCCAGCTGGGAGTGGTTTTGGGTCAACCACCTGCAGCATTTTTAGCTGGGGTGGGAGTCGGGGCAGTGTAGGGAAGAGGAGAAACTAGAAAATCTCTGCTATGCCTTCGAGGAGATGCAGAAGTTGGGCCTGTAGCCTGGGGAGCGACTGCTGCTGAAGGAACCGCACTCCCCAGCCCCACGAGTGGTGGGTGCCCAGTTTAGTGGCTGATGTGCTCTGGGGCTGGAGCAAGCACATTCCCTTGTAAGGCAGTGTTTATAAGTGAGGTTGTTCTAAATTCAAGGACTCACTCTTGAGAAATATGAGAAATTTAAAGTTCCTGGGAAATGGTGTTGGACTGACCCACCGATGAAAGAGCAGTGTGTGGAGGGTTGGGAGGTGGCGGGGAATGCTTTCTGAAGTGCCAGAAGTGAAAGCCATGGTTAAAGCATGGCAATTTTAAATATAATGTGACCGCTGGAGACAGAGGAACCCACCTGCACCCTCGTGGGGGCAGGATCACAGTGCCTCAGGATCCCCAAGTTCAACACCATCTGGCATCAGTCTTTCATGATCCTGTATCATGGAGTGTGCATGGAGACCTCATTCAGATTTGTATCTGGCTGTCACAGAAGATCTCCCCAGAAAACTTCCAAACTATGTAAAAGTAGATC